GAGTGTTTTTAGGAGGGCTACTTTGAGGCAGGAATGAGTGGTAGCAGACCAACATGCTCTTAGCGTTACCTGTTCTTTTGCCACAGATCTCCATTTCCCCCCCGCTGCCTTTCTCTCTCTCTGTTGGCCAGGCCGTACCTTTCAAAAAGCCAGATTTGATCCAGTTTCTTCAGGTGCCGACACCAGTGTGATGTAGTGGCTAAAAGTGGCAGACTGTAATCTGGAGAACCGGGTTGGATTCCCCACTCCTCTTCCACATGAAGCCTGGTGGGTGATTTTGAGTCAGTCACAGTTCTCTCAGAACTCTCTCAGCCCCACCTACCGCACAAGGTGCCTGTTGTGGGGAGAGGAAGGGAAAGGCGATTGTAAGACACTTTGAGACTCCCAAGGGTAGAGAAAAGTGGGGTACAAGAACCTATTCTTCTTCTTCTCTTACAGTCTTTAATGATTCGGCCATCTCCCTTCCCCACGCCACACCCAGCTTTGTACTACAATATTATGCAAGTTGTACGTTTGGTACCTCCCCCATGAAAGTGGTTGGATTTCCCAGTAAATGCCTATGCAGGCTCCAGTGCAAGGGGCACCCCACACTGTATGATCCACTGTAAATGAGGAAAAGGAAGGGGCAGCTGGATGAGGCAGCTTGTATGTTGACCTTTTTTCATAAGAACTTCTCACCACTATGGGCAAATCCAAGATGGCCACCTGTCAAGTAGTAACTTAACACCGTAGCTTACCATGGTGGGCATGTACGCCTATGGTGAGCCTGTCACTTTTAATAATATTCTGCCAGGTTCGGGGGGGGGTATTGCTTTCTTGTCCCCCAGATTTCTAATCAGGTGCCTCAAGTAGTGGAAAATCCTTTCCACTTCCTAGCACCATACTACAGAGAAGCAACTTACTACATAAACTCTCTAGCAAGTTACTATTGCTAGTATTGAACCCAGTATTTTGGAATGGGGGTAATGTTGTTACAAATTTGGTCCCATGAGGTAAAACAGAGGGATAACCAATTTTTTTTTTCCAACTGAGAAAGGAACAGAAACAGCAAAGAGGCCTGAGCCACCACAACGGTTACTCATTCGTGCTTGTACCTCATCTTCACCACAGCTGAACAGGAGGAATAGTCATTCATTCTCCCCGGGAGAGAAGGAGGCTTGGACTCTTTAACAGAATTCTCAGCTCCCTTACCAAATTGTCATTTCCCAGGATACCCTGGGAGGGAGGGAGCCCATGGCAACTGTAGGATCATAAAATGGTAGTGTAGCCAGGGCTATTTTTGGGCAGGAACACACAGGAACGGAGTTCCGGCTGGCTTCAGAGTTGGCCACGCCCACTACAGCCAAAACCTCTGCATGTGTGGCTACAGAGGGAAGGCCTGGAGAGTGACCCCCCCGGTGACTCCAAGGCAGGTGGGCCAGGGCCCCCCTGAAAGGATCAGGGAGGCATTTAAATGCCTCCCCGTGCCTTCCTCGGCCTGTCCAAGGGCTGACTTGCCCAGGCAAGCCAAGGGAAAGCATGGGGTGTGGCCTAAAATGCTAATGAGTTTCTGCTGTTGGGTGTGGCCTGTTATGCTAATGAGTTCCTGCTGGGCTTTTTCCACCAAAAAAGCCCTGAGTGTAGCTATGACCTCAGTTTCTTCAAGAAGCGCAGGGACCTTAGTCCCACTGGTGAGAGTTTCTTGTGAAAAAGTGAGAGTTGGGTTTGGAATAAAACGAGCCATTTCCACTCATCCCCCACCCCCTCTGCAAACCCTGTCATGTCGTCCCTCACAATTTCCTGTCTCCCAGGAGCAGCATTTCATGGAGGTCAGAGGGCAGCCACAAGAAAGAAGGAACAAAACTTTCCAGTCCACGGATAGCAAATTTAGGCTGGCTTCAACCTTAACTATGCAGTTCTCTTAGGGGTATATGATCAGGACGTCAAGGTCCTACTTAAGAAGCACGTGAGCAAGGATCCGAGCAAAAGAAAATGGCCGTCTGCCATCCAGGTTTACATCCCTGCTGCAACACATGTCCATGTTTTAAAAATGCAAGCCGAGAAAGAGTTCCATGTGACCAAAGATATGTCTCCATAATGCAGGGGTCAGACGTGAGAGTTAGGACCACCTCTGGAATTCAGATATCTCATATCCCCATCTGACCTTTCAGACCTTACACAGAAACCCAGGGAAACAGTAAGAACTGGACCATACACATATACTGCTGCCATTCCTGCCACTGCGGCATCTGGAAAAGGTGTTGCCGACATCATAAAAAATAGCTGCTAACTCCGTGTAGTCTATATTCATGCTAACATTATGGGGAAATGGACTGTCTGGCCTAAAGCGCTTTATTGTGCATGGCATGAGGTTTCTCTAGGCGGCAGCTTATTCTGAAGCTGCAGATATCTAGAAAGTACACCTTTGACCAGCTTCATAGGAACTGCCTTAGCCCCTTTTGAAGCCAATCCTGTAGAGTACCTCCAGTTCCAGTAAACAGATACAAAAGCATCACACCTGGGGATGAAGTCTTGAATGGATTTTGACAGGAGCTTCCAGCCCTCTTGCTTACGGGACAAGAAGAGAGTGGCCAGACAGACATTTCAAAAAGGAGGGATGTGCTAGCGTTATGGGGCATGTTTTCTGTGGTCAGGGCCAGCTCACTCACTAGGCGAACTAGGCGATCGCCTAGAGCGGGCTGGCCCTTAGGGGCGCCAAACTGCACCCGGCCCCATACTCTGGGAGTTTCTTGATTATTGTGTTTTTCATTCTTCCTAAAATGCATTTATTTTTGAAAAATGGTGGGCGCACGAGGGGGGGGCAGAA